CTCTCTCTCTCTCTCTCTCTCTTCTCTCTCTTCTCTCTCTCTCTCTCTCTCTCTCTCTCTCTCCTCTCTCTCTCTCTCTCTCTCTCTCTCTCTCTCTCTTCTCTCTCTCTCTCTTCCTTACTCTTCTTCTCTCTCTCTCTCTCTCTCTCCTTTCTCTCTCTCTCTCTCTCGTCACCTTTCTCCTCCTCCTTCTCCCCTTCACCTTCTCCCCCTTCACCTCCTCTCTCTTCCTCCATCTCCTCCTCCTCCTCTTTCCTCCTCCTCCTCCTCCTCCTCAGGTAAATGGCGAGCAAGGCGTCGGTCTCACAGTAGCTCCCTGGCGAAGGAAGCGCGGAAGACATCCTCGCCGAAGTTTTAACACTCCCCGCCAGGAAATCAGATTTAAAACTTAGACGTTGTTTAGCGATGGAGAAAGCGGGGACCTCATAGTTCACAGCAGGAGCCCGGGGGATGAGTCTACGGATCGCGCACGCCGGGAATCGACACTTGGCGCGGGCAGAGGAGGTACACAGCACGTGATGTTGGGAAGAATGGAGGCATGGAGTAAATCGCGTAGAGAAAGGTCTTTTTTTGTGTGTGTGTAGGGGGGGGGGGTTGTCAGATGGAATGGAATGAATAGATATGGTGCATTGCGCGATTATCAAGTGCGTGTGGTTGCTTGCGCGCACTGAAGGCCATGTCTTAATGTGTTAAATGCCCTTTGTTAGGCGTAAGGATTGGCTCTCTCCTCACGTCTTCATGTCAAGCGAAATGTCATGTCATGAGTGAAATGCAACACATCTCTATGTTGATCCCCACTCCCCCCTTCCATTGGCTCTCGTCTCCCTCTCCCTTCTTCTGTTCCTCCCCCCCCCCTCTCATTCCCACCATTTTTCTTCTCTCTTTTCTCTCCTATTTTCTCTTTTTCCCTTTCCCCTTCCATTTCTCTTCCTTCTCATTCCTCCTTATTCTTTTCCTTCTTGCCGCTTTCCCTCCCGTTCCTTCTCCTCTTCTCCCATTTCACATTTTCTTTCTGTCCTTCGTTTCCACTCCCTCACTCCCTTCTCCCTCCCTTTCCCTCCTTCCACCATCCTCTTCTGCTCCTTCCTCCCCTCATTCCTCTCTTCCTCTCTGCTCACCCTCTCTTCTTCCTTTTCCTTTCTCCTTTTCCTCCTTCCGTTGTCTCCTCCCCTTCCTCATTCCCCCTCCTCTCTCCCTCCCTTCGCCTCTTCCCCCCTCTTTCTCCTCCCCTTCCCCCCTCCCTCCCTCCCTTCCCCCTCTTCTCCCCTCATCCTTCTCCATATCCTTCTCCCTCCCCCCCCTCCCTCCCTCCCTCACTGCCCCTCACCCTTCCCCTCTTCTCCTCTCCCCCCTCCCCCCCCTCCCCCCCAACCGCCACCACACACACATTAACCAGTGGCTGTGGATCTGCATAATCAATAATCGCCCTGATAAGTAACTTAGAGATACTTAACCATCCTCGGGCGGGTCGTGATTGGCCAATCATTCGCGGCTTCGTTTCCGTCAAGCAGTCGGGTCACAAGTCGGCCTTGACAGTTGCATTGACAGGCGTGACATGGGACGCCTGTCACGGGCGTTAATGGGGCGCGGGCTGGGCTCTCGGCGGATGTAAGGGGTAATGTTGTTCGTTTATTCATTTAGTGATTTATTCATCTTCATTATTATCATCATTCTCTCGTTTATTCTTAATGGCGTTACGGGCGATGCAAAGGGCGTTTCTGTTCATTTATCTTTTATTTCTTTTATTGTCTTTATTTGCTCATTGATTCGTAGTGAGGGCCACGGAAGGGGCGCTGCTATTCATTCATTCATTTATTGGTTGATGTGTCCTTTTATCTATTATTCGTATGTTATTGGTGTTTTTTGCTTTGTTTTTGTCATTGTTTGTTTTTCTTATTCGCTTGTTGTTGTATTTTGTTTTCTTTAATTTCTATTTATTATTTAATTGTTTATTTATTTGTCTGTTTGACTGTTTATGTTATTCGTCTAATGCCTATCTATTTATCTCTATTACCATTTTTATTCCGAATGCGCCGGTTATCTCTTACAGTCAGATTACGGTTGTTTTCACCGTTATTATCTATCGTTAACTTATCTATCAGAGTTATTCATCTATCTATTTTCTGTTTGTTGTTATTGTTTCTAAAATATGTATCTGTTTTTTTTTAGGTTCGTTGTGTTACTATTATTTTTAGCCTTACTGTCATTGCTTCTCGCTTTTTTCTTTGTTTTTGTGTTAGTTTGTATGTATTGCTTGTCGACTATGCGTAAAAATGGGTGGTTTATTTTCCGAATATCTATCGACGTAAATTTCCATATCTATCGCTTTCAAGCGCCTGAAATTAACAACTAATGATATGTATATAAACCTTGTTGTTATCTTTACCTCGAGTACATACGTATTCCTTGTGAAAATCTACAACTTCGGCGCTCTTAACAACACGTTAGATTATCATAATAACTTGCAGACGAAATCATGTTATATAATAACACGATACTC